GTGTTGATTATGACGAGGCCATGTATTATAATCGGCGGCTACGACGACACTATGGCATTAATGATAAGGGTGACAATAATAAAAATGGGAATGACTATGGCGAAAATGGCGCTTTAGTGCTAGGCACGTGGGACAGAATCAAATTAATGATTTCGCAAAATAGACCAGGTCTCGGCGTTTGGCGGGTTATTTCGAGGGATTTTTCGTAATTATAAGTTATGTCCTTTTTTTCAATTTGCTTTTGAATATGATTCGTCGTTACTGAGTCTGCCAAAATTGCATTTTTACAATTAGATGATTTTTTTGTTGTGTTTGCATGTTATGTGCATTGAATAAGGAGTGTTGTTGAGATGGAATGTTGGATAGATAAGCTTTTATTATGAATGTGGCTATGATAAATAGTATAATGAGATTTCTCAAACCCGAATAACGCCGTATTGCTCATCCAATGGTATGCAAATCGATACAAAAGAATGAATAGCCATACATTTAAATTAAATTGTTGTGACAACACCGCAAAATATGCCAACTGTAAGAAAAGCGCGTCGCGGCAGGTGGTCGGTGCCGGTGTCATATATGTCATGGTCGACAGGGGCGGCTGAGGCGGTTCGGTGTTCCCTGGGAGTATTGTTCGCCATAATGTGGACCTGGAGGACCGTATCGTGACGGTGGAGGGCCGTAGTTCTGGTACGTCGGGCCTGGCGGACCGGACTAAAGTGTGTCATTCATCAGCTCATTTCACGGCAGTTTCAAAATGAGTTTGATATACCCATTCCGGGGGGTGCGAGTATTCGTATCTCGGTGTGTCCCCACCATATTGCTGCTGTTGTTGCGATTGTCTTGATGGATAGGTATGCCATCGATCAGGATACCTCGCCTGCTGATCCGGAGAATATTCGTAGTCTGGAAGCACTCCGTGACTCTGCCCGCCAGCCGCCATGATCTCACTCCTGCTCTCTGGCATATAACCTTGTCCGCCATTATGTATCACAATCGGCGCAGACGCCGTGCCAGGCTCGGCTTTAACATGGACCGGACCCGTAGATGTCGATTGCGATGCAATAGTATATATAGGTGGCGCGGGGCTGTGATTTCTGTGCTGATAGGACGCCGGTAAATATCCTTCTGGCTGTGCACCACCATGCGAGTACTGCTGCTGATACTGATACTCCTGCTGATGTGAATAATTATATTGCTCGCCTTGTACTCTTTGTCCTTGATGCGGCGGCGGCGGTGGTGGTGGTGGTCGATACGAATATTGCGGTTGATATGGAGGATTATACTGGTACTTCGTACTCGGCGCACTATACGGAGCCGGTGGGTGTTGGTAGTGATGCTCGCCATACTGTCCGTTCTGTGGAGAAGCGTAGTTTTGTTGCGGTGCGTAGGTGTGATCTTGGTTTGGGTGATAGTACTGTCCCGAATGATGTCGATAGTCTGGCGGAGGAGGCGCAGAGTCGTGGGATGCTTGTTGACTGCGCGGATACTTGTGTTGGCTGTATTGCTTGGGCGGATATGCCTGCTGAGGCGGAGGCGGTTGTTGTTGTTGTTGCTGGGACGAATTCTGTGATTGGTATCTTTGCGGCGGAGGAGACGGCTGTTGATGCCATCCCTGCTGCTGCTGATATGTTGGCGGAGGAGGCGGTGGCGGCGGCAGGGGATACTGTCGCTGGCGTTGCTGTGGTGGCGGGGGATAGTACGGCTGGTCATGAGGCGTCATCTGCGTTGGATGTGGATACTGAGGATACGGCGCCTGTTGCAGAGAGTAGGAGTGGTAGTACTCTTGTTGTTGCGGATGTTGGTGTTGTGCTTGCACGTACGGTTTCTGCTGTATAGGCATGTATCTCGCCTCTGGATGAGGGTCTTGTCGGTAGTCGTACTCCGGAGTGTACGGAGGCTGTTGCTGGGGAGGGGGTGGGTGCGCTGGAGTAGGTGGCTGCATAAAAGATTGACTGTATCCGTAGTTATAATGCGGAGTCGGAGGCGGCGGCGCGTTTGGATCCTGAGCAGTATTTGGAGGGGGTTCAGAATACCCGGGATGACGAGGGTACGGATAGTCCGGAGCCGCTTCCTGCTGATATGACGGAGAACCTTGAGTCAGCTGTGGAGCAGGCACATCTGGCTTAGGAGGAGAATCCATCTCGGAAGGAGAGAGTTTGTCTGGATCGGAAGTCTGTTGCTCATGATGATCATTGTCTGCCTGGATCTTTGCTGACCACTGATAAGGCGGATCAGCAGGAAACTTGTTTGCTTCATTATTTTCGACTTGAATTGATGCAATGTATAGCGACAACATTGTCGTACTAGGCAGCTCAACTGATTCTTTTGCTGGCGTGCAGGTCCGGTGGATGTCCACTAGCGTAGTGACAAGATCGCCCAAAATCCGATCCTCCTCATTGATAAGCTTGAGATCGGGACTCCGCGGGATAACTGGCTCGTGACGTTTGCCGTTCCTAATGAGGGCGATATCGTCCGAAATCTCGTCAATCGACAATCCCTTCGTGACTGGCTCGTCTCGCCAATCGACGCTCGGCACCTGGTGATACTGCTCGCCGATATTCACGGGTCCATCGTCGTTGTCGGTCTCGTAGTCGTCCTCGGACCAATCGTCCGGAACTTGAGCGCAGGTCATGCCGTTAGAAACAAACTCTATATGCTCACCGACCTCAGATATCATATCTGCACGCAGGTCAAACCGCTTTGACAGATGCCTGACCCAAATATTCTCTTTTTCGGCGATCGTGACCCTTCTGACCCTCTCTACGTCCAATTCTCGTCTGCGCTTCGCAACAAGCAATCGTGCCGCCAACAGCGCACGATGCCGCGCAATAAGCTGCTTCAGACTGCGTATCGATATCGTGTTAGGATCGTCGTGTGTCGTGAGAGGGTCGGGAAGTGCTTGGTTCAGCAAAGCGTCGATGTCGGTGTCGAGACGGGTGGTGCGGAAGTCGATGTTGTGCTGTGTCGCGAATGGCTTGTGCTTTTCCGTCAGTTCGTCTTGGTGCAGGATTATTCCGTGTTGTCCTGTATATTCCCTGTCAGCTAATCTACATCCGAGTGAGACCGGAGTGGATACGCACTGTTTCGCGTTGAATCGCCTTTGCCGGTTGAGGCATGCGGGATACCGCTGTCTCTGAATGCCGGGGCCACGCGGTCTGGCTCTAAAACGCGCCGTCGCTTTCGGCGAGAACGAGTATCATTCGCTGTCACAGCGACAGACTTTGCCGTCCACTCGCTATCCGTGCTGCCGGCGGCATCACCGCGACGACTCAATTCGTCTGCGCTCTGACTCCTTGCCGATATCGCGGACGAGCCGGACGGGGACGCCGGTATCGAGCTCGACGTATCACTGATTGGTTGTCGCGCCCGCACGCTGTTAAAGACGATCGCCATCTGGGGAAGCTGTTCCTCTTTTGGGATCACTGTGGCCGCAAGGGTTGGGGGCGGAACCATCGTGGAATCGGAGCCGTTGCCGACGGCGAGCCGGGATGGCAAGGACTTCGAGGATAACGCGTGTAGAGTTGGTGGTGAAATCCCACAGAGACCGATTTAGTTAGATGAATGCTAGCTACGGATGACGATGGAGATTGCAGATGGACAAGCAAAGCGTTTGACGGAAAAGTCAAAAATTGAAAACATGGTACGATGGGCTGTCTTTGCGCTAGCTTGCGAATTCTACTCTGGCATGGAAACGGTACGGACCGGACGGCGTAGCCTACGCTAATGGCAGTCACAGGTTCAACAACTGTCTCGTTCGGCCAATAGTGAACTAGTACAATCCAAACAGGAGACTACATTTGCAATAGTTTATTATGCTGTTTAATTTTCAAGAATTATTTCTGACAATTTACTATATCGGTGAAGCAGGAGAGTCAGCGGAGAATGTACCAGCGGCAAAGAAATACCGTACTCTGGAAGCTTAAAAGCACGCTAACGAGAACCTAAAAAGTGAGACCCTGCCGCCGCACTGAACAACTACCCAAACCTAATTGTTCCTCCAACTTAATGTATAAAATATGTACTTGGGACGGGATATTTAATGTTGAGACGATGAATCCTACTATCACAGTACACCGTATTAATCTAGTAATATAGGTGGTGCGATATGGCTTCGAAGATAATAATGAACACGACAAATTACTATCGTATATCAGAAGACCAGTGACCTTTGAAGGGGAGCCGAATAGACTTTGCGCCATGGATTTCTAAACATTCGCGAATGTACCTGATTTCGGTTTCAATTACGTGGTTTGATTGTGAGCATGCAGGTGAAGAAATTTCCAACATGCAACGCCCCACAGTTTCAGTAGACAGATCGGAGGTTCAAATGCCTCCTGCTTTGATATCTGAGGTACATGGAAATGTAGCTGGTTTTATGAATGATTAGAAAGGGTGGTTTGATATACTGGAAGCCGACATGATTTATGGTAGTAGTTGACAGCTGCAGACCTATCGGTACCGTGCAAACTCTCTTGTTACTGCGCCAGAGGATGCGGATACGCCGATAGCACCCAGCGCCCAATTTCTCGCCAAGTGGGCCTTCTAACCGTCGCAGATCTCGTAGTGTTAAGAGCGACGCAATTTTTGGATAGTTCATTTCCCACGCAAATGACCATTGACCACCAAAAGCTTGAATTGTTTTCCACATTCAACCTCCAATACGCCATCGTGCCTGATAGCTGCAGCCCTTACATCTTTACAGATAGCGTTGCATTTTGGGTAGAAATGTATCTTATGATGACTGGGAATGAGTGTAAGTGGCAACCAATGAAGGAGGCCGGGCTTTCGGAGGTACTTGACACCGGAAGAAAATCAGCGAGTGATTGATACCTGACGTATACAGTCCACACAGTTATACGTCTGAATGTGCAGATGGGTGCTGACAGTCAATGGCGGAGCGGCGTGACTTGACAGCAGCAACATCGTGTGTGGATTAGTAATGGATTACATAATTGATTTTGGGATAAATAGAAGTCCTTGTGCAAGAAGTTTCACATATGACCCTGCTAGCTCAATTGGCAGAGCGTGAGACTCTTATGTCGCGGTAACTCTGAGATGTGATCTCAAGGTTGGGGGTTCGAGACCCCCGTGGGGTGCATTATTTTTTACCTTCAGTATTCCTTGAGAAGGATATTATTAACTATAGGCTAAAAGTCACCAGCCACTAAACCTGCCGGCGTTGTGTAGCTAGATTGAGATGTCTAATTTAACCGGTACACGGCAGTGCGTCAGCGATCGCTTTCGGTGCAGATTGTAGCAAATTGATCAGATCTACGATGCAACAAACATAAAAGCTGCAGGAATCGCCAAATGGAACACAGAACTCGCTACGACAAGGGCATATATACAGAAGTTGCTATTTTTGGCGTAGCAAATGAGAAAGCGAAGGGTTTCTCTCTTTCTCAGTGTGGGTACCTGCGTTCACATGCACCAAACTGGAGTCAAGACCAGAGTAGACTCGTTGACACAAAACCCGCCGGATGACGTCCAGGACCAATTCTGATAAGTCCATTGCCGGTTGCCGGTTGGCTTGGCATTAGGGCATCGTATCATAGTTCCGAAAACTGTTCCTAGCTTTGAGACCACGCGGCAAAACTCAAACACCCCTCAGCACCGCCACTGCGGCGACCGCGTTCGGCCTCAGCCACATTCTGAGCCATGCCCAAATCAACTGGCTGACAGCCCGCTAAGTAGCTAAGCTAGGGGTGCTTTTCCACCAGTCCATTGTCAAGTCCTCCTCACCTCCCTTTACGATCTTATATAACTATAAAACTAATTGTACGCTGTAGCTGTCTTTCGCTAAGCCCAGTCTCTCCAAGTATACGTCCGGTTCTTTCTTTCGCTCTACACTTATACGATACTGCTATAGACCAAAGGAGTACCCAAATGGCCCGTTTCGCATTCCTCCTTTGCAGCATCCTCGGTCTCCTCTTGGCCGTGACTGCCGTTCCCACCCCTCAAGCCTCCGGGTACGCGACTCTATGAGCGCTTCGCGACGCGTCTAATATCATTCTAGTCCTTCCCGGCGATGGCTCAACTTTGGATACGGCCTCGGCGATAAAGTAAGGGGGGTCAACATCGGCGGCTGGCTCGTTCTCGAACCGTACGTGTCTTGTCTTGTCTTCTCTCAACTCAAACAGTGCATCTACTAACTCATCGTCAAGATACATCAATCTATCGCTCTTCCGACAGTTCCCCGTCGACAGCATTCCCGTCGATGAGTACCACTTCTGCCAGTATCTAGGAAAGGACGAGTGTCTCTCCCAGCTCCAGGCTCACTGGGCGTCTTGGCTTTCCGCTGACGATTTCGCCCAGATGAAGGCCGCAGGCCTGAACCAGTATGTAGACATTTGATCCTCAGAACAAGATCTAACGTCGGTCAGTGTCCGCATTCCCATCGGCTATTGGGCTTTCCAGCTTCTTGATTCGGACCCATACGTCCAGGGCCAGATTCCCTATCTCGAGCAGGCCCTCCAATGGGCTCGAGAAAACGGCCTGAAAGTCTGGATCGACCTGCACGGCGTTCCAGGTTCCCAGTATGTGGCCTGAATAAGCCTATTCTTGACTTGAACTGACGCCCAACAGGAACGGTTTCGACAACTCTGGTCTCAGAGATTCCTTATCATGGCAGACCGACGCGAACATTGAAGTCACTCTCAGCGTCTTGTCGACCATGATTGCAAAGTATGCTGCGTCCGAGTGGAACGACGTCGTTGTCGCCATCCAGCCCGTTAACGAGCCCCTTGGCCCCGTCCTTGACCGTACCAAGATTGAGGCGTACTATGACTTTTCCTACTACCAGCTTCGCAACGTGCAGGGCTCTGACATTGCTGTATGGCCCTTTATATTTTGGCATTTTTGACGTCTCTGCTTGTACTGACGCAGTCTAGCTTGCTCTCCACGATGCGTTCTACCCGACCACTTCATGGTAAGTTACGTAATCTAACACAAGATTACTATCACTCACGCGTCACAGGAACTCCTTCTTGCAGTACCCCGAATACACTCACGTCATCCTTGATCACCATGCTGTATGTTTATGTTGCACTCCTCGTCCAGAATCCAACACTAACTGGAGCAGTACCAAGTTTTCTCCACCGGGGAAGTTGCCCGCGACCAGGCTGCACACCTCGCGCAAACTTGCGTCGAAGGCCAGAACCTTCTTAGTACCACTTTGTGGTCCGTCGTCGGCGAGTGGAGCGCCGCCTTGACCGATTGCGTAAGTGCCCCCGCCCCAACAAATCGTACTAAAAAATATGTCACATACTTACACGTTTAACAGGCGGAATGGCTAAACGGTGTCTACCGCGGCGCTCGCTATGACGGTAGCTACACCGACAACGGCGGCAGCAGCTTCGTCGGTTCCTGCGCAACCCGGTGGGACTTCTCGACGTGGTCAGACACGGACAAGGCTAACAGTCGCCAATACATCGAGGCCCAGATGGACGCGTACGAGCAAGGCCAGGGCTGGATCTTCTGGTGCTGGAAAACAGAAAATGCTGTTGAGTGGGATTTCTCGTTTTTGCTGCAGAACGGAATTATCCCGCAGCCACTCGACTCGAGACAGTTCCCTAGCGCGTGCACATTTTAGTTTTGTTCCTTCCTTCCTTCTCTAATGAACTCTTTTACTGTTTTAATGCGCAACCCCGTCGATCTCCCCTTTTCGCCGCCTAATCAGCCATTCGTTATTTTATAATTACTTGGGATATAATTTTTTTTTGGTTTCGTTTTTGGTTCTGCATTGGTGTCAAACGTTCTGACAAATTTTGAATACTGCCTTTTTTTAATTATTAGATTTTGGGACTTTTTCTGTCATGGTGGGGTTTAATTGTTAGATAAAACACTGCAAAGAGAGTCGAATTGGTTTGTATAGCATTGTATAGTTGCCTGTTTTATGACAAGCGTCCCGCAGATATAGCTCGAAATTGGATCGCTTCCGCTTAGTAATTTAGTCGCCACGTTCCGTGCCTTATAATAATAATAATCACAGTTGATATGCTGTGTTCTCACCTGACATCGACTTTTTCGCCCTTCCGTTTCTTAAACGCGGACAGTTGCGACGTCTTGCCTTTACGGAAAATCCTGATCCACCAACTCGCCCCAAACGTCGCAAATACGAACCACGCTTATAAGATCAAATTACATACTACCTATTACTAAACTTATCCAATCCAACGCCAAGTACCCCTACCCCTTAACAAAAAAACCCTGATCCAAATTACACCATCCTTATTACGACAAAATCTTAGATCCCGGGCTAATTAAAAGACACTGCACAAAAAAATCGAGAACAAAGCCAAAGGAAGAGACCCCAAAATAAAGATATGCAATTCATGGAAATCCGTTGTTGTTGTCATCCGCGACGAAGAGGGTCCGCACCGGTTCCCGCAACGGAAACGTTCGAAATCCGCACTCCTTGCGAATTTCGCGCTAGTGTTGAAGATGCTGCCGTTCCTCCTGCAGCCGTGCTAGGCGACGAATAGGCAGGATCGGACATGTTGTCGATTAACCGCCATTTCCCACTCCACATCTTCTCCAGCGGCCCCGCAAGTTCTGCGCGCGTTTTATGCCTCGAACTGACTAAGGCGGCCGCCATGTCCTCTTCGGCATTGCCAGCGCCGAACATCCACCGTGACCGCGGACCACTGACCATTTCGCCGAGGCCAGCCGACGTGGCCATCACGTGGACTCTCACCCGCTCAAGGGTTTCAGTCACCGGATCGCGATACCGCTTCACGTTCTTGAGCTCCTTCGACAACGAATCTAACTCCCTCTGCACCGCGCCCGTGGTCGCACGACGCGTGCTGCTCCCCCTCCGTCGTCCAAGGCCAGATGATTCCGTTGCCTCCCCATCCAGGAGCATCCCGTCTGGACTTGCGCTGCTACCGTTAATACTCGGACTCGAGGCTCCATCCCGGAAACTCGTCGCGCGCTGGAGCCAGAGTTTCTGCTGCGTACGACTGCTCCCGCCTGCTGCCGCTGCGGCGGCTGCCACATCGGCCAATGATGCCCCACCCGAGAACGGGAATGACGTTGCGTTAGCAACAGCAGCCACCGCGGCCGCTGCTGCTGCTTCGGCTGCTGCGGCGGCTTCGGCGTCCGTGATGATGTTGCGCCGGAATGTGAAGGATGTCGGTGATTGCAGGGGTTGCCTTGTGCCTCTATCTTTCTGGTGTGCGGCGGTTACGTCCGCTGCTGACGCCGTGACGGACGAAGACGCTGTCGGCGGCGTTGTCACCGCTGTTTGCCGCCCGGACGTACTCTCGACTATAAACCGCGACTGAATCGCCGGATTTGAGTCTAGCGAGCCCGAACCTGACGTTCCCGCCTGCGCAGGCGATTCTGACTGCACCGGCAGCGGAAGGGTATCTTCCATGCCTTGTTTGAGATCCGCTGGCAGTCGCGATGGACTCGGTAGCCCATTCACAACGGGTTCGCCAGTGTTTGCCGCTGTGACGTCGATCGTGAGTGCGAGTTCCCGTTCGCGCTGCTGTTTCTTCCGCTCCTGCTGTAGGTTTTCCTGTAGTTTCGATGTATTCGGCGGCCGCTCGTATTCGCGCTGCACCGGGGAGTTAATAAGTGATGTCGTGCCTGATGTCGGTGCGGAAGAGGAGGATACATGTTGTTGGTGTTCATTGACAGCCGCGTCCGCGCCAGTCATGAACGGTGCGGAGGCTTGCCGGTCTTTGTCGGACTCATCGGATACGCTTTGCTTGGTCTCGTCCAGCTGCACACTGGCTCGTCTTGAAGCTAACGGCGCAACTTCAATAGACAACCCCTCGTCATTGTCCGTCGACTCTTCTTCATCTTCTTCCTCCGACGCCTGCTGTGCGGCCGCCTTCTTCTTCGCGACGACCTTCTTGGCCCCTGTACCTGCTGCGTTGTGAACAGTGCTTAGACCAGACAGCGTCCGTTTCTGCGCCAACGAAGGCCTCGAACTCTTCCGGCCCGAGAGCGCCAGAGCAGACACCTCTCGCCCCCGCAACGCGCCCTCACGATGCACCAACGAATCCGAACTCTTGGACTTCTTCATCGCAGTCTGCGGACGCGGCCGATCAGGCGGCAACATCGCCGACAACGGTGGCGACGGCACCGC